ACGAACTAAAAATTAAAAAATATAAATTTCTCAACGAGATTTCAATAAACTAATATCTCTCACTCCATGCGTCGGAATATATTTATTTTTTAAAAAATTATTAAGTTATGATTTATAAAGTAAATTAAAATTTACTATTTGGATCAGAAACTGGAGTGCAGAGTCGTGCCTGAACACAGGTTAATGAAGCATGTGCTTCAGGGCCGGAGGAGTTAAATATTTTTTTGGGGCCAATTTTCCAGAGTTTGAGTCAGTCCAAATGGTTTGTGAATAGGTGAAAGCATGTTTGGTTAAAAGTTTGCCTGAGTTCGATTCTTTCCAAACGCATATTTGTCATTTTTTTTGTCAATTATTTCTGGACTAAACTGCATTAAGAAAAATTTTAAAGGGTCAATTGTTTTTCTCACTTATAATTAGAGAAATCTCAGATACGGCAGTGCATTTGTTATTTTCTATATACGTCGATGTGGAGCGTCATAATCTATGGGTTAATTGTCGAAATCATCATTCTTCTCCAATCTTTCAAGGAAAACCTTGGTTAATTATGGGTGATTTTAGTGAAATATCGGCAGTTGATGATCATTCAGATTTCTGAATGTCGTTGTCCCATCTGTTATGAAGGATTTTCATGAGGTTATGTCTATTTGTACACTTACAGATTTTCCTACCATGGTCTTAATTTTACATGGTGGACACATCAAGACCATAATACCATCAGCAATAAATTTGGTCGTGCTTTTATCAGTGATTCCTGGTTAATCAATTTCCAAACTTCTTATCATCTTATGCTTTATTTGATACGGGCAGAACTTCATACCATGCTTGGTGGATGATTCGCTTAGTCTTTCGCTTAGTCTCTCAAGACGCACTGTCTCACAAACCTTTCAAACTTTTTAATGTTTTTGTCCTAAAAAAAAAGCAATGGAGTCAATACTACACTTGTATGTATATAAACAAAATTGATTTTTTTTTCTGAAAAGCATTAAAAGAATATAAAATTAAAATATACTACTAATACACTAATACTGAAACCAGATGTTAATAAGAGTCTTTTGAAGTCATAGCCTAGCTCCATGACGTTAGCGGAGCATTTCCTTTCTCTCCTTGTGAGGATAGTGTCTAGGATTAGTCAATCAATTGCTTTGAAAATTACGCATGAAAATTAGTTTCTTCTTACGACAGAGCTGTTCCTGCAACTCTGGAGATTATAAATTATTAAAAGAAATATGGTCCATTTTAAATTTTTGTATAGAAATAGAGATTTTTTGTTCGACTCACCAATAAATTAATGCTTCGTTTTTTCTAACATGTTTAATAATATTAGTAATTTTTACAATTGCTAAAATAATTTAAACTTAGGAAAAGCCTTTTGCTTCAAATTCCATAGTGATGATGTAGACGAAAAATACCCAAAAAAATATGAACTATGAAAACTTTCACATAGTTGATCCTGAGTTTTACGAAATAAAATAAACAATATAGAAATATCTTGTAAATTAAATAGATTTTTTATTATAAAGTAAAAACAAGAAGTGATATATTTGTTTCATTTAGTTAATTATTATTACTGTTACTGACATGATGAGATCTGATCACAATCCAACAAGCGTATCTGAGGAAAAAGAGGTCAAGATTTTATGTATAGTGTGTTCACATTCTATACACATGAAGATGCTGAGACTCTGATAGTACCCATCAGACCAGGCTAAATAAACAAACCGAATTTTATAATTGTATTCTAATATGTAGTGAAACCTAGAACCAAAACCTAGGATTAAATTTACCCCCGACATTAGTTTAGCTTTGTAATAAAACGTACAACAACATAATACTGGCACATCTATACGAATATTGTTGGGATATATTTCCATCAATGTAATTTTTTGACGATGGTACTAAATGTTTAAAACTTTAGGGGCTAACTATGTTTGTTTTATCAGGTTCTTATAATTGAAAGTACAGAACTACTATTTACTCTCGAAATATTAATGTCAATTATTTTCATTAAAGTTTAGTTAGAGAAAACCTTGCATTAGATTATAAAACCCTAAACTATCATCGAATTTGACTAGAAAAACTGGAACAAAAGTGAGTAAATGTAGGCAGAAACAGGATGATTGCTAGCTAGTCGCAGAAAGTTCCTGAATGCTGCTAGCTAGATCCAACTGTTATACGTGTCCAAATTTTTAAATAAACAACCATTTTAAGAACGTCGAGGTGGTAATTTATATGAATTGAATAATGAATTTGGTTATGCCAAGAAAAAATAATATTAGTTTAACCTGTCAGTTTTAGACTTCGCTATCTACCTATTGTGATAAAGATGACTAGAAAGTAATTTGATTGGTAAGATCAAAAACTAATTCGAGAGTGGTTAATAATAGAATTAAGGCAGGTAAGATATAAGCAAATCCATAAATAAAAATAGGGAATGTGCGTATTATGGTTTGACCATCCTATAGCCATTATCAACATTTGATCATGACCAACTCATTCACACTCGCACAGTTCACAGACCATTAGAAAACAAGTATCTTTAATACTAATGATTATGATTCAATATGTGGAAGAGAAATTCATTGAAAAAAAAAAACAAATTTCGCATAAACATAATTTATAATTATCATTTTAACGTATTTAACCAAACGTTGTCTTTATCAGTGTAAAATTTTCATGGATCATTGGAATCGTCAAATGAATTTATAAAAATTACATAATTATAGATACAAAGGATTTTTTGGTCATATCAAAAAATAAATGTGTTAAATTCAAAAACTTATAGATTCGAATATTAATTGCAAATTTATTTCTTCAAAAAGAATAATTCTGAAATCTTTTAATTATTAAAAATGCATCATTTAGTTTTGGTTTTACATTGTACGCCATTTCAAATTCGTAAATTAAAAACACTCGTAAAACCATCTGAGAATATAACATACGTATTTGTAAAAAAGAAGAAGATATATATTCGAAAAGCCGAAAGATATTTGAGAATTGATTGTTTGACAAATCCACCGACCTCGTCAAAAAGAAAACTTTTCCATACTTGAAGGTCCCCTGACTATTATAATCATTGGAATTGGGGATCCTTATTCTCTATTTTTAGTTAGGTTCTGTTATGAAAACATAATTTATTTCGTCAATAGTCACTTATAATTTTTTAAAATTCAACAGTCTATCGCTTGAAATACACGCTATAGTAATCCTTATTCAAAATGACAATGTAACATCCACTATTAAAATGCTTAAGGATTTATAATCCAACTATTGTTAAGTGAATGATCCAATATGTATCTATAATCTATAATAGATAATTCAATTTCACATATTGTAAATGAAAGTTTAACAAACCATTAGCAAAATATCACATACTTTACAGTTTTTTAAATTCCAAAATTAAAAAGTGATTACGGAAATAAGTTTCTTTCCTATATTGATCAGTGTAGGAAAACTAATTGGATCCAAACCGTTTGATAACTCTAAAATTTTTAGATTAAATTAACTAGTCTTGGATATTCTTAGTAAAACAAGAAACATTCTTAGAAATAATTTTTAGTTTTGCAGACTATTTTTTTTTCTTTTCAGTTATCATGTTCAATTGTCGTAAGACTACTGGAGATCTTGTTGACTAAAGAACCGACTTGTGTGGTAGAAAATATACCAAAAAAATAATATGTTAAAATAACTGAATCTCTATTAATGTTTTAGGGAGAAAAGTTATTATTACAATTCCATGACAAAATGTCGTTTTATTGTAATAAGATAGCGAGACACATTATACACGCCTGCATATATCTACACGTTGGTAGGTATATCTGCATATATATACATATATATATATATATATGTGTGTGTGTGTTTGTACATATGCTGATATGAGCACAGAGCACACATATAAGAATACTTATTGAATACTATGATAAGACTAACTTAATTGCCTACATATGGGGAGAAAGTGTTCGTATGTTCCTAAATGAAACAATACTGTATATGGCACTTAAATATTCGTAAGTTCAGACGACTATTTAATTCAGACTATCACTAATAAGGAAAATAAGTTATATTACATGATGTGTGTGTGTATAATTTCAACCAACAAAAGGTAAGACATATTTACGTGGCTTACGGCTTACCTACATTGTGTTGACAAATTTTTTATGTGCAATCAATTTAAGTCAGGCTATTTGACCTTCAGTCGTAAGAAATTAATATTCGAAATAAATTGCTAAGATACATAGATTAATACATATCAGGTTCTTTAAATCTTTCTCATATTCAAAACGCACGTTGTTACAATGTTTAACTTGTTATATCTTTCTCATATTCTTAATTTTCTGTTTTCAAAGAATTTAAGGAAAATATCAAGCCTAATTATGAAAATAACAGGTGCAATGAATTTGGTAGATAGTTTTGGTGCATCTATAGAATTGAATATTTAAGTCGTGTTTCTTTCGTATCAACTAAGTGTTATCAACTAAGTAAGAAAATAAAAGAATGTTTTAAGTCATAAGTGATTTATAACAGTAAAACATTCCATCTTTGACTCAAAAGATTTGGCTAAAAACCACTACCATTGACTCAAAATCTATAGTTTCAAAAATCGAGTACTATGTTGGGATTTATGTGCCTTCACGCAAATAAATTAAGCTTTATAGTTTGAGGTAATCTGTTTTTTAAAAATGATATTACTAGATATATTAACCAAATAAAATTTTCAAATTATTTTGTTCACTAAAAATGAAACAATTGTTGGTTATCAAAAAAAATTGTGAAAATTTTAAAATAAAAAATGAAACAATAGTAATTTTAATAGCAAGAAAAACTTAAAGCCACAAACAAGAAGTGAAAGTCTTTACTAAAAGCCTATAGCAAGCAACCCCTCCAGCTTTGATAACCAATCCAGACTAATTCATTCTTTTTTTCTTTCACCTAAACCACCCAAAAACCGAAATTTTAATCGAACATTTACAGCTCCAATCAAGAACAGCAAAAACAAAAGGACAATAAAATGGCGAGAACAGAATCTCTCGGCCTTTTTTTCTCTTTAATTTCTTGAGATTACGGAAGAAAATTTCTACAATTGTGAAATTGTAAAAATATACACAGAAAATGTTAAACGAAGTGTGAGTGAAGAGGGGCTTAAAACAAGTAGAGAAATTTTCTAAGCAAGATAGTTGTATATCTGAGGATTATTCTTGTCTCTCTCCAAGTATTCTCGATCGATCAAACTCTCTATTCTCTTCTTCAAATCAGCCGGTTTTATCGGGAATTTTAGCTGCAAAATCACAAACGAAACCAAACCCGTTTACGAAAACTCGAGCAAACTCCATCCTTTTTGCAATTCAGAAAAGCGGATACACTAGTGAAAGCTAAGAGCCATAACTTATCCTAAAGAGAAGATTTACTGCATATCGAGTTCAAAACTTTTCTCGTTTAGATATGTAGTGAGCATGAAAAAAATATGTTACCTGTTGGAAGAGCTCAGTGATTAGAAGAGTATGACTTAAGACTTTTCTTGTCTTCATAATCCGGACAATGGCTGCATCGATCTGTAAATTGAGTAATTTGGATAAGAGAAAGTTGTTTGTCAAAATCTCTTCTCGTTTTTAAGGAATGAAGCCACGAAAGTTTTTACAAAACCGGTAGAAACATACCTGGTATTGGCGGTCGTGGAATACTTTTTCGGTTGTACTTGCGTTCTCCTCTACCGTTTCTTTCATCTGGATCGCATTTACCTGCACCAAGATTTGATCAATTAACATGGAGACGATTTCTAGATCTCTGAAATGGCAATAGGTTATACTATAAGATTCAAGAAAGTATAAAGTGAGGGAGGGAAAAAACAAACTTACCTTAATGCGATACAGTGAGGCTGTAAAGTCTTCGTTGAAAACAAATTCGTCACCATCCTCTACATCTTTTCCTTTTGGGACCTGCAAAGGAGTTATATAAGATCTGACGAGTTTCTGCTTAAGTAGAAAAGACGGTTACAGAGTCACAGTTTTTTGGCTCTACCTTCACCAGTACACGAATTTTCCCACATGCAAGTGACTGCAAGGTCCTTCTCAGTTCCTTGTCTTCAATGTTTGTGGAATCTTTTATGTCTTCAAAGCTAAGTTTTTGTGCATCATTAAATAACATCAACACAACGGCCTGAAACACCAAAAGAAAAGGCCTCTTAAGCAATCACGCAAATAAAAGCAAAGAAAAGAAAGGGCATCAACATACCTGAAACAGTGAAACAGCAAGCTCCTTTCTACCTTTCGGGAACTCTGCCTTTAGAACACAGTGACCTGATGAGTTTTGCCACATCAACCTCCTACCACTGTACTTACTCAAATAGAACTCTTTGAAGATATCCTATGAAACACACACACACACAGATTGACATAGAGAAAACCATGCAAATATGTCGAAAAGGAAAATGTATCAAGACTGCTGGAAAAACCTGATAAACATTTAATTCATGCGGAAGTTTAGCATCCATTTGTGGATATGTTGGCCAGTACCTGCATTATGATGATATAAGGATTTTAACTTGATTTGCAATGTTTATTCCTATCCGACTTTGGTAGAAATGTGATACACAATACATACCCTGTTGTTAAAACATGTACACTCATCTCAATTCCTGACGGCAGTTTTGTCCTGGCCTGGGACGATTGTTTGAAAGACTCATTGATTTCCTTTGAGAGCTCGATGTCCTGGAAAATTTTACCAGAAACAGAGAGGACTGGTTACGATTGTTGAGCTTGTACAGTCGTAAAGAATTAACTAAAAATCTTGTGAAACAGTCTGATTATATTTGAAGTAGTAAGCACAACACCTCATAAGCTCGTAAATTTACTACACAGTATGCTAATTTCTTTTATAAAGCTGAAAAACCAAAATATTCTTTAGGGAGAAAGAAATAGGACCTTAAACATCCCCTCAAGTTTGTTTGTAAACTGGCTACCACACTCATTCTTAAGCTGCAGTTGCACCAAAAGGCAGGTCAGTGGATAAGAAATTAAGAACTTTGTCGGTAAAGATAAATTCTCTGTGAGAAAACGAAATGACCAGAAAAGTATGTTAGTTTTCTACCTTAGAGATCATAGATTTTTCAGCATCAATCGAAGCACTCTTTCCCAGCAAGAGTCTTTTTGCAAGATCCTTTTTGTAGAAAGCTTCAAAGACATCTTTACCCTTGATTAAGAAAAATAATTTCAGCAACATGATTTCTAGATGGTCATTGAGTTGGCTTTCAATTCAGGCAATGCCATGCAGCCACACATAAGCAGAAGTAAGAAGTGAAGACAAACCTGGATAAATCTGAACAAAACCAAGACTTTTTCAAGTGTATTCTCCAGCTCTTCTTCCGAAGTACCCTTATTCCCAGCACGGAGCTTCTCATCCAAAAATTTGGCTATAAGCTCAGCAGGCCGGTTCTGCAAATAGTCCAGGAGCATAAATACGTTTCTTCATTTATTTGGACGCATGCTGACATGTAAAACTCGAAGAAGTAACACGAAAAGAAACCTAATGTGAACTTATGTCAAGGATTTCACATCTGTAAAATGTTGGCTATTTGCAAAGTGTGTATACTTGCGGAAGCACAACAAATACAAAAGAAGCCACAAACTGAAATTGTGTTTCGAAGTTGAATTCCAGTAACATGTAGCGAATATATGCATCGCCAACACTAAATCAAGACAATAATCAAGACAATAATCAAGAAGATAAAACTCCAGATGTTCAAAAAAAAAAAAAAAAAAAAGAAGATAAAACTCCAATACCTGACGAAGATTAATCAGATGCTCAAATGAATCTTTAATAGTATTTCCAAACGATTCATTCTTGGAAAAACTCTGTTCCCATATAGTGTCAAGAGAATTCTTGAAGTCCAATAACGATTGTACCATATCTTTATCTTTTTCATCATCCATAACGATCCTCTGCCCAGTTTTCTTAATGTAGGAGCTTAGAGCCTGCCTCAGAAATTCAAGCGCATTAACCCTAGTTAAGAGAGTGTACATCCTCTGAAGGTCCTCAGTACGACGTCCATCCATTAATATTGTGAAACCCTGAATGATTTTGAAAAATGAAATTAGTTAGCCATAGACCATGCTTTTCTAATAAGTACATAAATACGTAGATGACAAGAGAGTGAAACCTTATCAAGAATAGGGGATATGTGACACTCAAGCAGTTGCTTTTCAGTGGTTGCTATCAGTGGCTTCCTGGTCCCTGCATCTAAGTACAGCATGCATCTTTCATTTTCTTCATGCAACCTTCCCTGCAAAAAACATCAATAGATACCTTACAGAGACCGGAGCTACTAATAACCTTTACTGATGTCTATCGTAAGGAGAAAGAAACACTTTAAGGTTATATGAGGACATTCAAGGTACCTCAGTATGCTTCAAGTACTCAGGAACGTCAGACTGCTGCATGTATTTCATTCCTTCAGCCGCATAAAACTCCGATGTGCATTCAAGGAAACGTTTCTCGAAGCTTTCCATATATATTCCCAGTGCAGTAAACATCTTCAAGAGATGGTTCAATAGAGTCCTATTAACAGCTTCGCCTAATCTGCAAGATAATTCACATGCCAGGAAGAGTTGGTAAATTGAGATGAAATAATTTACAATAATTATGACCAATAACAGCACCGCCTTGCCTTGGAAATTGCATTTAGAACATAAGAAATGGAGACCATACTTCTAGAGAGCATCAAAACATTACATGACTCATAAGCCGGAAAAATAAGTAAGACAAAGATCGGCTTCTCGAGTATCAATTCACAATGTGACAAATGAACCAAGCTTCTCCGTTACCTTTAAAAGACCAGAATGTTGCAAATGCAACTTTACCTTTCGTTTTCAATCATACTTAAGAGACCAGTAACAGTCCTTTGCTCAACTTCAGGGGCAAGGGAGAGATGCTTCCGGAAAAGCTGCAGACCCATCTCCCATAATGAACGTATGTTTGGGTTTTGTATCACATACTTTCTGTCCAGAGACAAGGCTATACTACGAATCATTAGCATCTGGTCACAAAAGTCTTGCCAGCGCTTCTCGACAAGCGACAGAAAAACAGACAGATCAGTGTTCTGACCAACTAAAGATTGTAAGGCAGCAGAGATGTGTTCTTCACACTCCTTTTCAATTTGTTGGTAAAGTTTCTCTTCCAGCTTATGCAAGCAAAGGTTATCAACAGCCTGATGAAAAAATCACGCTCTCATCAGCGAGACATCTTAACAGATGCAAATAAGTCCCTATCGGGTAAGCTATAAATTTGCAGATAAATATACCTGATAAAGCCCTTCAAAATCAAAAGTAACTGGTTTCATCAGGAATATAGCTTGGATAGCTGACTGCAGCTTTGCCCACGTATTCTCCTCAAAATTCGTAGGTAGAGTTGGTTTAGCTTCAAATTAAATGAAATAAAATTAGAAACTTTTACATTCTTAATTGCTAGCAACTCTAGTAACAATGAGAATCATCCTCCCAGGCTCCAACTAAATAAACGGAAATATAGCCAAGAAATAGCTAGTTTGACTAAATTCATCAACCAAGATTCATTTTCATTGATGAAACTCAGGCAAGAACACAACCAAATGGATGGGAAACATTAGCGAATAGAGAAAAAACAACCACTTAGTGGCATCCAAAAATCCATGGTTTAACACTCCATTCGCAGTTGATTAAGCTAAATTCTTAAAACTAATGCTCTGGAATTTCTATCAGAAACAAGTAACTATCCCGCAAAGCCTACCAAATCACTCAATTGGACAAGCCAAGCAAGAAACCAATGGTAATTCTCTAGCCTAACCAGTATAAAGACTCAGAGAGTAATCCTAATCAATCAATCCGTAACATCAATCACAGATTATACTAGATGAGATTTCGATCGAATCACAATGGACCAAAGAAAGAGCAGATAGATACCTTTATTGAGTTTGATGACGAGTTTCTTAGTTGGTTGTGGAAGAGTAGCCTTTTTCCGAGAGAGATTCGCGGCGGCCGGAGTAGGATCGTCCTCCATCGAGAAGGCTTCTTTGTCGTTGTCGTCTTCTTGAGACTGCGGCGTCTGATGGAGGCCGTTTTTGGCTTTCTTCATCGGAGGAGAAGAGGAAGAGGAAGAAGCGGCAGAGAAACAAGAAGAGCGTTTGGTGGGAAGAGACATGAAAATGGTGAAATTGAGAAATGGAATCAAGAAGAAGACATCATCGATCGATCGAATGGCTTAACCCTTTCCACGAAGCTTCTCTTTCTCTCAATGCTTCTCTCAGACCTACGCCAAACTCACGAAAGAGAGAGAGAGAGATGACGAAAATTACTTGTTTCTATAATATTAAATTAAATATTTCAATTTTGTGAAGAAAATGAAAATTAAATATTTCATCTCCAGTTTTAAACTTGGGGTTGAAATTAGAAAATCGTGTTAAACTATTTCTTATTTTTATAACAGAATAAAAAAATGTCTATGTAATTTTTTCAAGATTTAGAATTCGTATAAACCAATGTACTAAAAACCTTAATTTGCTTTGATGTTAAGGAGAAAAAGATGTACTTGTATGGTGTAAGAGATTTAAAATTTGATACTAGAATGTTGTGAATGCTCACAAAAACAAATATAGTTACTTTTTTCAGAAACAAATTAGTCTCCCATTACCTTCTTTGAAAACTTAAAATATGAAATAAACTACATTACGTTAACAATCAAAACTGTCAAAAGATTTCAAAAATGAACTAATAAATGTTTGGTTTACAGTTGTACTTTCATGGGATATTGGGATTGAGTCGATTGATTGAAAATGAGCTCTATTATGTTTTACCATATCATCGATCCATTTGATTTGCGTTGGTTTAGTTAACTAAAAGACAACTATTTGGTTTGGGTCTAGACTGGTTTGGTTAAAATGCCAGATTTCAATACCATGCGATTCATTGTAGCCCAATGATATATATATGTGCTGTGTTCAAGGTTCAGTCCCAAAAAGTATAGACCCAATATTATTTTTCTGGTTACGACCCAATACTCCAACACTATGCTTTTTATTTGGTAGGTTAGATTTTTCTTGGGTACTTCCTTTTTTGGCTAGAATAATTTTTTTGGGGTAGTTTTGCGGATTTTTATATTTGCATCTTGCTGTGTCATAAATTCGATTTTAGTGATGTGTATGCTTAAGTTAGATTATAGAAAACAATACTATTCTCTATTTTTTCATTCTCCTATTTCTAATTGTTCACTAAATTTTTGTAATCCTATATAAATCTTCATTATCTATGACATAAGACACAACAATTTCATCTCTTCACTTCTCTTTCTTTTTATTCACAACATGTTATCAGCACGAGAATCTCTCTTTATTTTTCCACCGAAAAATGTGAGATTTAATTTTTATTTGTGTTTATATTATTTTGGAATGATAAGTAATATCTTCTCCAAATCAATCATGATCATATAATAGACAATGTCTCTTTATATCATATTCATATAAAGAGCATGGCTATTGATGTTAACGATGCTTATGTAGAATAATGATTATTGATTGTCTGATATTTGCACAAAGATCAAACAATCAATAATCATTCTCTTTATATAAATATGATCTGAGGAGACATATAGTCTACCATATGATCATGATCGTAGAGGTAGAACATATCATAATCAATGATTTGAAAAATATATTACTTATCATCTCAGAATAATATAAACACAAACAAAAATTAAATCTCATTTTTTTAGTAGAAGAACAAATAAAGAGATTATCGTGCTGATAATATGTTATGAATAAATAAATAAAAAACAGAAGAAATTGTTATGTTTTATTCTATAAATAATAAATATTTATATAAGATTACAGAGACTTAGTAAATAAGTTGAAATAGTAGAATAAAAAAAGTTCTATAATATTCTAGAATATTCTGAAAATCTTCTAATAATAGTGGACTTCATAATGAACATCCACGTAATTATTCATAACAATCATATTCATACGATATAAATATTCAAATTATTTTTTGACATTTAGTCAAACAAATAAATATATAGAAAATATTTCAAAATAATTGATAAGAACTAGAGGAACCTCTAGCTTCTCATTTTTCAGCTAGACGAAACCTCTAGTGAACGAGGATAAGGTAAGCGGAATAGTGCAACCTGGACGTGTGTTTTACCAAAACTTGTACATGCATGTCCTAGGTGGGATTTTGTTTACCAGAATTTTGAAAGAATATAAGATGTGTTTTCCGACTGGTTTTTCTACCAGAATTTGTTTTATAACAACACAAATAGAACAGAGAAACAAAGGAAAAAAATTATCTTCTGTGACTGTAAAAGAAAACATGAACTATAAGTTCAAACATAGCAGAACATGAACATAATTGGTGTTATTTTTTCGGTAGGTTTGATTCAAAATTAAGAACTATATTGTCGGTTATACGATTTTTTTTCTCCCTATAAATTTTTTGAATGGATTTGTTTTTTTTTTACATTTACTTTAATTGCTTTCTTTTTTTTTTCACTAATCAACGTCGGCAAAAAAAAAAATGTCTTTCTTTATGTTTTTGGCGGAAAGAAAAGTAATTCTTCCTTTTTGGGGATCTCCTTTTCTGATTCTTGATGCGAATCGTCACATATGTTATATACATATGCAAAAACGTGAATCCACACACATACAATCTCCCTTTTACATGTCAAGCCATGTGCCAAAAAAAGCAATTGATTAAAAAATAAATAATACTAGAATGTGAGTGGCGAAGCCAGAAATTTTTTTAACCGGGATCAAGTAAGGCATCCAACATAAAATTACAGGGATCAATCAAATAATTTTTAACAAATTCTTTCAAAAATAACATATATTAGTAAGCTTAAGTTTTAAATTTTGTAATTTGACATGGGTCAATTGACCACTCCACACTACAAGTAGCTCTGCCATAATGTCCATTGGATAACAATAAAAGAGAAGATGGTTCTAAGAAGTGACTAAAGATATATCAAATATATGCATAACCCTATAGATACAAAGGCCAAACACTTATCTAAGTTATTTAACAAACAATCTAAGTTTGACAACCCTTGTTACGAAAAAAAAAGCAAGCTATATAAGTTATTAACAAGCATATATAAACACAGCTTATGGAATCACAGTGTAATGGAGATCAAAATGTCGAATATCGTATCTTGGTACTCTATTCGTTAATCCTCATCAAACTTTTACTATTTTTTTTTTGTAATCAGACCATTTTCTGTAATTTTGTTTTTGGCAATACATTAACTATAAAGAAAAAAAAAACCCTCGTAATGTCTAGTAAATTAGAGGTGTACAATTTAAAAGATATTTATGAAGAAAATATACGATGCGTGACAAGCCAACATGTTGAACTTATCATTAGGAATTTTAGGATCGTCTCCATTTTTTTCATTATGAGAACAACGTGTAATAGTGTAGGTTATTTTCTATAAAACGTTATACCGGTTAAACGTTGTGATTTCACAATCGAATATATATAAAATCTAGTTGTATATACTTAGTTTTGTTTTTATTAGTGTCGGAAAAAATTGCTATATAATTCATCTCCTTTTTAAGGGTATATGTTATATATGATAGCTCATATAACCAAACGTTTGAATATCATTTTCGTGTATAAAATAATAGAAGTTCTTTCGAACAAAAATCCTATAAATTGTTATATGACATAAGACAAGACAAGTACAGCAACACCAACGATATGCTGCTTTAATAAAAAATTTCAAATTCCGATATAAATTTTCACAGTCTTACGTGTCTTATCCATTAATGTCGCACCCAAATTACATACTTTTTATAAAAATGTTTAGACGTTCTCATTTTTTGTCGTTTATACCAAAAAAAGGTGGAGGAAAAAGAGAAGCATACACATAGATTAAGGCCCTTTTGACGTATGCGCGTCATAAATGAAAAACACTTTGAATAGTATAACAAAAAAACTAATAAAAAGAAAAAAGCACACGTAAAAGCTTTTAGCCATGCATGCACGATGTTTACTGGTTATCGAGAAAGCAGTATCGTCGAAGGATAAGACCTTAACTTTCTCTCTAGCATTATAAAGGTTGTTTTTCTTATACATAAATGTTGTCTCTTAATGCTTATCCAGTTATCCATATCCACAAAAATTCAATTTTGTAGGCAACTTTACAATAAAAAGTATTCTCTTAATGCTTAAACCATTAACTTGACTGGATTATATGTTTGACGTAAAATGGCCCACAATATCCGCTTTCTTAATATGACGTCAAATATATCTCATTGTCTAATGTATAAAGCCAAAGTCCAATATGCATTTGTTGTGTAAAAAGGTGCAATATGTAAATATCTTAATGATATGTAATTATATGGGGTTATAAATTATATATTAAAAATTTTGGTTTAGTAGATTATTTAACAGTTTTTTTAATATCTAGATTATTTAACAGTTACATTCACTTTAAGTTTAGTTGGATTGTAGAAGTTCGGCTAAATATAAAAAACGCAGTTATAGAGTAGTTAGAGGCCAACATTTAACCAAATTAAACCAAATTTTCTTGTAGTGAGACTACATATAGTTCAAATATATTAAAACTATGAGTCTGATGGTGCAATGGCTCAGCAGATTTATAATGTTGGTCATGATCTTCGAAACATGAAACGTATCTTTCCAGTGCCAGACAGCCAGAGGACTGACTGCGAGATTCTTGATGCTTAATTAATATCTAAATGTTTTTCTCAAAAATAATATATATATATATAAACAAAATCTCTGTCGTCATAAAAGAATGGATAGAAACGTTCTACACTCTAATTATGTTTTCACCTTTTTGTGCGTATTATATCAAGGGTCCCTTATATCAACTGACCCTTACAATGCATAGACACGTTATAGACACATTGTAACTAAAAATATAAAAACATGTCGGTCCAGTCTAACCTAGACCGGTCAGGCAGGTTCTGTCTCCGATGGTTTGGTCTGATCCGTTTCTTAAACAGTTGATATATAAACAAGTTGTAAATTGTTGGTTCATTTGCGATAACCGACTCGACCCAAAAATATGGTAATTGGAAAACCGGATAAAGTAGTACTCTACTTTTTTCATGCACTACGAAGATTCGAAACCCTTTCCTCGCAGAAACGTCTTCTAAGCTTATAAACACATTTCTTTCGCCATTTTGCTCTTAAAAACATTCAGATCATTTTTTCCCCCTTCTTTTCATCTAAATCGTCCTTTCTAAACATCATTTTTTGTTGTTAAAGATCATATTAACAGAAAAACACTATCTTATCAA